CTCTCACATCACACACGCACACACGCACACACACACACACACACACACACACACACACACACACACACAGAGCACAGTCTTAGACTCTGAAATTTGAAAGTTCCAAGTAGAATACATTAATGAAAACATAGACTGCTCTTTTTGGTGTAAATCGTAATAAAGTACTAAAATAAAGGAGGAACTCAGAGATGGATAACCATCTGCTGCTCTCAAACTGAAACCTGTCACATTAACTCCCAACTCAAATACATACTTTTTAAGGTTTACCTTCAAGAAACCTAAAAGCTTGTATCCTGCCTCATCGGCAACTGCCTGAAACTGTTCCCTGTCATCGAAGAAAATAAATCTTTTGCTCGTTTCTGCCTGGGGGAGACAGAGGGACTGAGGTGGTCCTATGTGGCTGAATTAGATGAAAGACTTCCCTTCCACCATGGAGACATGGAGTCTAATCAAGTGAAATGAGTTTTGAGATCCCAGCTCATTTCCTAGGGGAGATCAGTTCACATTACAAAATCACGACATCTCATTCATCACAGCTGACGTGGTCTTTGCTCAGGAGAGGACCTCAACTGGGACTGAACCACCTGTCTTCTCTCAAAAAGGGGCACTTTATCCAAGTTAAGAGTGGAGAGCCTTGGAATGAGAAGGCTTGCCAGCCACCAGCTTCCTCCATGGGGGATGTGTGCAACAGGGAGTGGAAGTTGGGTCTAAGGGGAAAGGTTAGTTTAAGGAGCACTGGGTGATAGTAATTTTAGTGATGGTGTACAAGTAGTCATTGTGAGGACATTAATGTGAGTAGAGGGGATGCACGACTGGGGCTCCCCTTTCTTTCCCTCCTCATTTTGTTAAACAGGAGTGTGAATGCATCCCAATGCATGGGTTCAAAATGGGGAGGACATGGCATGCATTGTGCTCTCCAGGCTGACAAGTGACTATCACTTTCATTTCTTTCAGGGCATCGTTGTAACACCACTGCTACTGCTGCTTTTTGTGAGTATTTTGATATTGCTTTTCATATCTTTAATTAGTACCTTCTATTAAATGCCGTGTCCTGGACTGCAGATGTGACTTGGTGGTAGAGCACTTGTCTAGCATGCACAAGGCCCTGGGCTTGAACGCAGCACCATAAGGAACAAAAAGAATCCCACAAAGCCGCCTGAAAGCCTTCAAGGAAGGTCTGTAGAGTAACATTGAAATTTGGATTCTTTAGCACAATTTGGCATCACGTTTTGAACCTTTCTTCCAGAGGACCCAGAAGTATTGACCCAGAGACACAGAAAAACCCCATAATCTCGTAATCCACGGGCAGCATCGGGTCTGTTATTAGGCCTCCAATACCTGGATAAATCATTAATTATTGCAAATTAGTAACCTGTGGCACGAGTCACAAATGTGCGATTCATTATGTTCTGTTTAGGATAGCTACAGTGACCTAGTGTTTGATAGTTTCTGACAAAAAGAACCTCGAGCCAGCAGATCAGAGACAGCTTAGATCCCAAAGCTGGTACTAATATCAACTTGTTCCCTCACTTTGGAAAGATTGCCTTAGCATGTCCATCTGTAAAATGGGAAGCAAAAACCACCTATTGCGGTCTGTCCCCCAAGGACAATGGATGTGCTGCATTTTAAAAAAAGGAAACTACAAGTGCTGCATTTTAAAAAAAGGAAACTACAAGTTAATGCAAGCCACTGGGTAACTCAACAAAATTTGTTCTGAAAACAGGAAATGCTAATTAACTAACTGTCGTAATTCTTTTGGCATTAAGTGTATGAGAAATTAGATGAAAGATTATAATAGAAATTAATGTTATCTCACACTGAGCAAAGCATATGTGGTCATGAATGATACCTAAAATATTTTATGAACTGTGCATCTTTTCACACACACGTCTTCCGACTATAAATCACTCTACTTATCACGGAAATGTGGTGGAGAGACTGGGAGCGAAACGAAGCTGTGTGACCAGCACTATTTGTCACTGACTTAAAACTATGGGGGAAATTTATTTAATTATAGTGTAATTACCCAAGTTGGATTCACTTAGTATAATAGACTGAGGGGCATAGTTTCTTACCAGCTGGGTAGGAGGTTACAGAGGGCTAGATATACTACCAGACAGTTAGATTCTGCATCTTTCATGAAAGACATCACCTTCAAGTAATAAGCCTCTGCTCCACTTCCCGCCTGCCTTCTGAAGTGCAAAGTCAGAAGAGTCAAGTTATCACAGCACAACAAATCTCATGCATTTGGACGCTACCAGTTCAGAATTTGCAGCAAATCAAATCAGTGGATATTTGCATTAGCTTGGAAATGACTTGCTATCTGCCTGCTTGCACAGTAGATGTGAGATACTGGAATCATCCATTAGTGTTTTCACCAAGAAAGAGGTGAAAGATTGAGGATCCCAAGAGTAATATTCCTGGAGCAGTCTTCAGCAGGCACAAAATAGAGGCCAGCCTGAGGTTCATAAGACAAGTACAGACCTCAGCACCTAGCACGTGTGCAGTAACGAACTGCATAGCCTGGGCTTTGTACATTGCAGAATGCAGATGCCTCTTATTCATGTGACTTAGTTAAGAAGAGAAGCAGGAAGCTGGAGAGATAGCTCAGTAGGTAAAGTGCTTACCAGGTAAGCATGAGGCCCTGAGTTTGAGCCCCAGAACACACGTAAAAAGCCAGGTGTGGTGGATATGCTTGTAATTCTAGTACTGGGAAGGGAGGTCCCAGGAGCTCACTGGTCAACCAGCTTGGCCAAATTGGTGAGCTCCAGGACAGTGAACAGACACTGTCCAAAAAAAAACAATGAGAAAAGGTGGAGAGCAACTGAGTAAGTCACCTAACGTCAACCTCTGGCCTCCACAAGGCACGTGCACACACATGCACAGGCACACGTGCAAATACAGGCATACATACACACAGAGCTCAAGGGGCAAAGTTTCAGCCACAGCTACATCACCGAAACCTGCAATCTCTGGTACCCTCTCTTGATAAAGAACCCAAGGAGAACACCCCTTTTTATCTCCATGCCACAAGACATTTTCTCAGTTACTCGTATTATGATATCACATTATCGCAAGCTTTCCTCTACTCACAGAACCTTGAGCTTCTGAGCTTTAGTTGGCTTGATATTTTAAAATAGTAGAACTCTGTGAATATTGAAAGATCCCAAGACTGAACTGCGAAGCTCAGTGCTTCCCTTCTGAGCCAGTGGGCTATCTCGGTAGGTTTGAAAGTGTCATCTCACATCAGTAGATACTTCTGTGTTCACATGCATACCGCACACCTTTGTCTGCTTAGGTTATTATACGTTCTTCAAACAATGAGAATTTATAAAACACTTGGATTGTAGGTTGTATTTACTGAGCAAAATAAGAACCTGGGAGACTTAAAATATGAACACATTCTAGAAAAGCTATATTTTTTTCAACACCTTTATTATGAATTGAATTGTTGCTCCCCAAAAGATTTGTTAAAGTCCTAACCTTCAACATACCAGAAAATGTCCCTATTTGAAAACAGAGGTATTACAAATAGAGTTAGTTCAGATGAGATCGTACTGAAAGAGGGTTGGACCTTAATCCAGTGTGATCAGCGTCCTGACAAAGAGGCAGAGATCCACAGGAAGACACCATGTGGCAATGAAGGCAGAGATCAAAGTGCTACAGCTGTAAACCAAGGAAGGGACATCACGGATGCTGACAGTCTTCAGGTTCTAGAAGAGACAGGGTGCTTCTGTGCACATGGGGAAACATGGCTGTGCTTGATCTCAGACTTAGAACCTCCAGAGCTATGAGATAATATGTTTCTGTTGCTTTACCCTGCCCAGCTTGTGGGCTGTTCTGAAAATGGTATTGTCTTACTTTATAATATTTTGAAGATGGGAATTTCTTGGTATTAAGACACAGTTGCTAAGGAAGGTGATTTTTGCTGGCAAAATGTCAGTTCCGTATATTACTAAGCTCTTCTCAGAATGCCCTTGTAACTCTCACTCCACTGAAATCTGTCCTCTGAATCTTGCTTCAGCTGCAAAAGTCTTTCCTGCCGCTGAGCCTTGCAGTGGGGTAAGGCATTGTCCTTGCACTCTATCAACAATACTAAGTGACTTCTCATGCCTTCTCCATAAAATCTCCCACTTCCTTTAGAGGCTGTACCAATGCACCTATACTGTCCGCCCCTCTCCTTGCTGTAATTGGCAGTAGAACCCCAAGTCTTTTGCTATCAGGACAAAATTGTATGAGCATCTTTCCATTGTTTTCTTCTTAGAACTGCATTGGGAGTCATTGTGGGTGTCTTCAGAATTCACATAGTTGATCCTTCTAATAACCCAAGCTCTTTTACTAACTCATGCCCTTTTACTACAAGTCAGCCAACTACTATAGGCTGAGCCTTGACTTAGTTACTGGTAATAATGTCATCCTCCATAATTAAGTTTTCAAATACCTTCTCTGACCAATAAGCTCCCTGTATTCATAGCACACGCCCCAAGTCAAGAATTCTCCAAACTCACTGAAATGGCCAATTCATTTACCTGATTACCTTTATAATGCCTTAGACTATACCCACCTTACATTCATCCTTAGGCTGTCACATCCCCTCTCATTCAGTCCTGTGCTCCCTGCTTAAGTCCCTTCAACATGCCCTGCCCTTCAGTCTTCCTTATCTTGTAACCCCATCATCACAGGGGCTCAGGCTGGGAGCTACCCCTGTTTTCACTCTTTCAGTTTTACCTTCAAGTTCTATATTGGACATGTTTAGACTGAGCTGCCCTCCAGACATCCAGGTAGAGACTTCAGATAAAGTTGTATGAATCTGTAATTTAGGGGAGAGTCCAAACCAGAGATATTCATTGGGAAGAAATCAGCATCAAAGATGATTTCAAGTTTGACTGGAAAAGAGAGAACGAGAGCAGAGGAAGGAAGTAGTGCAAAGCAAGCCGTAGGGTGCTGTGGTGTTAAGGGAGCCACAAAGACCAAAGAATGGCTGTCTTGCCTAGGAGGAACACCACGAGATTATGATGCCCCAGAAGTCTAGAATGTGTTTCAAAAGATGTATGGAGTGGGGTGCCAATTCAAATAAAATGAATTGGCCATTGGTTTAACAAGATGATGGTCCTGGGGGCCTTAAAAGAGCTCTCTCACTGGAATTGTATAGTCAAGAGTCTGACTGAAGTGGACTTGATAAAGAATGAAACAGGAAACATTTAAGAATAGATTAGTACATGCCTTTGATCCTAGTCCTCAAGAGGCAGAGGCAGGCAGATCTCTCTGAGCTCAAAGCCAGCCTGGTCTACATAGTGAGTTCCAGGTCAACTGGGGCTACAAGAAGACCCTGCCTAAAAAGGGGAGGGGGGCATTAATTGATAGCTTTGGGGAGTAATTTTGCAGTAAAGATACAAAAAAAAAAAAAGATCACAAGACTATTCCTTTTTTTTTGTCTTTTTTGAGACAGGGTCTCCCTGTAGCCCCAGCTGTCCTGGAACTCACTATGTAGACCAGGCCGGCCTTGAACTCACAGAGATCCACCTGCCTCTGCCTGGGACTAAAGGCGTGCGCTACCACGCCCAGCCAAGACGATTCTTTTTTAAATTAAAGAAGTTATTAAATATTTGTATTAACAGGATCAACCTAGTTGTAGAGGGATAAATTGATACATAAGAAAATGAAGGTATATTCTTGGGCCCACTCTTTGAATTGAAGAGGTTGAGCTCTTGTACAAAGTGAAAAGTGTGGCTCCTCATCAGATAATTCATCCATAGTCTCTGGAGGAGGTCATGGTCTCTGAGCAGAAATGCAAGTAAATTAGCTGATCCAACTCCAGGGGCTGGCATAAGTCTTCTGATCATTTCTGTTTCCTCGTGGAAGTAGGAAATAAGGCTGGTGCTGGAGAATAAGAAATTCAGGGTGGCATTGGAGAGTTGGCCAGAGGTACTAAGTAATCCTGCAGAGAACGCACAGTGAACGGAATGCTTAGGTACACAGATGGTCCTGCA